AATCCCACCAAACGCCATGTGAGAGCGCCGGCATTGTGTGACCAGCTTCTGCCTGATTCTAGACAGAAGAAACAATACATCTGATCAGCCGGGCTGGCATAGAGAGCACATCAGCCCAACGAGGTGCCAATTCTCACTAATCCACTTTGTTTACATAATTGTTCAGAAATAAGGCTTTGTTCTTTAAACAGGTTCTCCAAACCCTGTGCTTAGAAGGATAAAGTGATCCTATCATTAGCAGCGATATCCCGTTGTGCTGGAGCCTCTGAAAGCTGCACAGATATGAGATAGCGAATGGTACAAAAATGAGACATTTTATATACATTTTTTTCTTTTTAAATACTATATCTATGTGAATGAAATGGGGTATACTGTATATAGCCACAAGGAAAGGGGTCCGCCAGTGAGCCGCTAAGAACCTGAGCCAGCTGCTCCTGCCCCTTCAACAGCCTGGTGCTCCAGTGAACACTGGAGGGGCAGATCAGAGAGCCGGTGTATCATGTACCTGACTGGAGGCTGGAATAGAGTGAGGGCTCCCCTTACGGCTAAGTGCAGTGCACCCCTGGAGGTGGTCACAGGAGGTGCAGTGCACAAAGAAGCACGGGTTGCCAGTAGTGTAGCTGCTTGGTGATGTCTGATGAGACGGAACCCGTGTTTGCTCCAGATGCAAGAGGAGTTTCTCCAGAGGACACGTGGATCCCGGAGGATGAGAAGAGCAGCAGACAGGAGCAAGGTCAGGATCAAGCAGAGGTCATACACAGAGCAGCAGACAGGAGCAAGGTCAGGATCAAGCCGGGATCATTCACAGAGCAGCAGACAGGAGCAAGGTCAGGATCAAGCAGAGGTCATACACAGAGCAGCAGACAGGAGCAAGGTCAGGATCAAGCTGGGATCATTCACAGAGCAGCAGACAGGAGCAAGGTCAGGATCAAGCAGAGGTCATACACAGAGCAGCAGACAGGAGCAAGGTCAGGATCAAGCAGAGGTCATACACAGAGCAGCAGACAGGAGCAAGGTCAGGATCAAGCTGGGATCATTCACAGAGCAGCAGACAGGAGAAAGGTCAGGATCAAGCAAAGGTCATACACAGAGCAGCAGACAGGAGCAAGGTCAGGATCAAGCCGGGATCATTCACAGAGCAGCAGACAGGAGCAAGGTCAGGATCAAGCAGAGGTAATACACAGAGCAGAAGACAAGAGCAAGGTCAGGATCAAGCCGGGATCATTCACAGAGCAGCAGACAAGAGCAAGGTCAGGATCAAGCCGGGATCATTCACAGAGCAGCAGACAGGAGCAAGGTCAGGATCAAGCAGAGGTCATACACAGAGCAGCAGACAGGAGCAAGGTCAGGATCAAGCTGGGATCATTCACAGAGCAGCAGACAGGAGCAAGGTCAGGATCAAGCAGAGGTCATACACAGAGCAGCAGACAGGAGCAAGGTCAGGATCAAGCAGAGGTCATACACAGAGCAGCAGACAGGAGCAAGGTCAGGATCAAGCTGGGATCATTCACAGAGCAGCAGACAGGAGAAAGGTCAGGATCAAGCAAAGGTCATACACAGAGCAGCAGACAGGAGCAAGGTCAGGATCAAGCAGAGGTCATACACAGAGCAGCAGACAGGAGCAAGGTCAGGATCAAGCTGGGATCATTCACAGAGCAGCAGACAGGAGCAAGGTCAGGATCAAGCAGAGGTCATACACAGAGCAGCAGACAGGAGCAAGGTCAGGATCAAGCAGAGGTCATACACAGAGCAGCAGACAGGAGCAAGGTCAGGATCAAGCTGGGATCATTCACAGAGCAGCAGACAGGAGAAAGGTCAGGATCAAGCAAAGGTCATACACAGAGCAGCAGACAAGAGCAAGGTCAGGATCAAGCGGGATCATTCACAGAGCAGCAGACAGGAGAGCAAGGTCAGGATCAAGCCGGGATGATTCACAGAGCAGCAGACAGGAGCAAGGTCAGGATCAAGCAGAGGTAATACACAGAGCAGCAGACAGAGCAAGGTCAGGATCAAGCTGGGATCATTCACAGAGCAGCAGACAGGAGCAAGGTCAGGATCAAGCTGGGATCATTCACAGAGCAGCAGACAGGAGCAAGGTCAGGATCAAGCTGGGATCATTCACAGAGCAGCAGACAGGAGCAAGGTCAGGATCAAGCAGAGGTCATACACAGAGCAGCAGACAGGAGCAAGGTCAGGATCAAGCTGGGATCATTCACAGAGCAGCAGACAGGAGCAAGGTCAGGATCAAGCAGAGGTCATACACAGAGCAGCAGACAGGAGCAAGGTCAGGATCAAGACACGGTAGAGAGCCAGGAAGAGAGCCAAAGCCAGGTCAGGGTCAAGCTGGGTCGGTAATAGGTAATCAGCAGTATACACAGGAACAGGGGCGAACTGACCATTTGGAAACTCGGGCACTGCCCAAGGGCCCAGGGTCAGTAGGGGGCCCCATGAGATGCCTCTGGTACCTTTTTCATAGGTTTTTTTGAGTTTGGGCAAGGACACAGGGGCCCCATGATCCCCTATTGCCCAGGGGCCCCATGAGTTGTCAGTCCACCCCTGAACAGGAACACAAGAACAGGGGGCTGACGATAATCCAGCAATTATTGAGCAGAGCTGCAGTCCTTATAAAGGCCACTGAGTATCAGCAATTATCGTGCCCTGTGTGGCGGTGCACTTTCACGCACAGGAATGCTCGATTATGTACCACTCGCCTATGAGCATTTTTTGCGTGAATTTGCGCGATCAGATTGAGCATAGGTGCATTTGCCCGGGCTTCCTGTCTTTTCTCCTGACACGGTGAATGACAGTCACTTCTCTCTGTTCACTGAAGACTGAGAACCAAGTGATCAGCAGTCTTTGACCTCTCAATTCTCAGTTTTGAAGCTGGTGGGTGACAGGTGAGTATGTATGTTTGTTTTTTTTTTCATTCCCAAATTTCTCCTTAAAAATGTGAGTGCAATTTGGTTGTTTTAACCTTTAATTACAGGTGTGTCCAACATTTTGACCTTCCTGGGCCACAACAGAAGAAGAGGAATGGTCTTGGACCACACATAAAATACACTAACACTAAGGATAGCTGGTGAGCAGAAAACGTCAGGCAGAAGTTAACGTTCACTGATATAGATAATGTACCTGAGTAACAAAACTTCATTTTTTGTAATATTTCTTATTGTAAAAGTAAAAGGGCAACATAAAACTAGTGCAATATTTTACCCTGTTTTTCATAAAATAAGGGGATCAGATTTCAGCTACAGTATACAGTATATCCTGTGTAGGGAGGGAGAGAGGGAGTTGTGGGTGGAGGGCTTTGGAGGGGTCTGAAATCTGAGGCGGTGCAGTCCACCCCAGAACCCCCTAGGATCTGGCTGTGCAGCACTTACTTGCCTGGTGCTAGTGGGAGTCCTTGCATTGGTTGGGCCAGTGCTATGCCAAAGCTCCTTGAGAGTTAGGGACTGATGTGAATGTAAAAATATATATGCATAAAGTACTTGTAATAAATAAAATACTGCTTTTGTCCTAGATATCAAATATTCCAACCAGAGGCATTAGTTACTAGCACTTTCAGAGCCCCAGTGCAAGAAACCATGAAGGGCCCCCTTCCCCCGGGCAAAGATTTTCCTTCCAAGCCCAGGGCCCTTTCTACTGATCCCGGGGCCCTTTACTCCTGCCGTGGGGTCCACAGTGGGATCCACAGTGTTCTGCAATAGACTTTTTTTTTTGCCATCTTGGGCCCCCACGGTGGCAGAACACCAGGGCCTGATCGCAAGTGAGACCTTTGCGACCCTGGTAGTTCTGTCAATGGAGTCAGTAGGCTTTTATTTTTGTTATTTTTTAAATTATTTTTTACCCTTTTTTGTTTTACAATTTTATTTTATTACAATTTTTTAAGAGTCCCGCTAAGAGGCTTTCGTGAAATATTAGGGATCTCAAAACTCAGTCTCCATCACTGCAGCCTCAGCTGCACAGAATGAATTGACAGGAATAACTTCACAGAGCTTCCTGTTCATTCACAAAATGAAGCATAGTAAACACAGTTTAGTATGCTTCAGTTATGAATGAACAGAGTCAGTGATTGGTACCGATCACTCACTGTGTCCATTCAGAAAAGGAAGGGGCTGGTAAATATCATAGTTACTAGCCCCTTCCCCGATCTTCATCATAACACTTTCCCTGCAGCAGCCAGGGGAAAAGAGGGAAGGGGAAGATGGAAATACTGTGGGGGGAGGGGAAGGCCAAGGGACCAAGGTCAACAGGAGACAAGTAACCTGGATAGGAGGGGAGGTGGGAGGAACCAATATCCTCCATTTTCTTCCTGCAGCCACTGAACGCCTATGGGAGGGAGAGGAGGAGAAGTGGCTTTCAGCAGCTGCAGAAGGAAAATGTATGGGACCGCTTCCTGTATATGCCACCCCCTCCTATCCAGGTGTATTGAGGAGCTGCACCAGCCCCCTGCAGAATGAGGCCAGGTCACAGTTGCAACCCCTATAGTTATGCCCCTGATTCCAACAATTGGTAAGCCAGGATGAAAACTGTCAAAAGTCTTTGTTAGTGTGTTGCTAACTCACACGTTAAATATATAGTTTTCATCAGTAGGTTTTTTTCAACTAAAATAAAAAAACCTTAAAACAGACCACATTTTATTGAAAGTGTTTATTGTTGCAGTATAAGGGTAAAGAGCAACTTAACATTAAAAATCATCTGATGTAATATACCAAAAGTGTAGATAACCCCTGACTCTATCTCCTCTAGACATTAGAATAAGAAGATCTGGATGTTATATACATAATTAAATCTTTTTTTTTTTCATTCGCAATTACATGCGGTAAGGTCTTATAAAGCCAAATTATCGCTGAAAGGAAATAAAGCTATTACTGCAACCTATATTTAGAAGTTTATTATTAACAGTTCTGTAGATAATCAGGAAATAACACTGAAAAGCAGACAGTGCTCTTGTGATCTTGAAACAACCAATTTTTACTTAAAGTGTTACTAAACCCAAGACCCTGCATTCACTATATCTGGTCTCCCCGGACCCTGCATTCACTATATCTGGTCTCCCCGGACCCTGCATTCACTATATCTGGTCTCTCTCTCCCCGGACCCTGCATTCACTATATCTGGTCTCCCCGGACCCTGCATTCACTATATCTGGTCTCCCCGGACCCTGCATTCATTATATCTGGTCTCCCCGGACCCTGCATTCATTATATCAGGTCTCCCCGGACCCAGCATTCACTATATCTGGTCTCCCCGGACCCTGCATTCACTATATCTGGTCTCCCCGGACCCTGCATTCACTATATCTGGTCTCCCCGGACCCTGCATTCATTATATCTGGTCTCCCCGGACCCTGCATTCATTATATCTGGTCTCCCCGGACCCAGCATTCACTATATCTGGTCTTCCAGGACCCTGCATTCACTATATCTGGTCTCCCACAGTACGCACAACATGGAAATGCAATTATTTTAGTAAATATCAACTGCTAAATGCCTTTTCTCATCAGCAGTTAGAGCATGTGACTTCAGCAGAGTACTGGTTAAAGCTTGTAGGAGGAGTTTTCTCTAGGAAGATGGAACACTCCTGACCTCTGTCTGGACAGTGCTGATTGGGCCTGTGCTGATCAAATGCACTCTTTGAAGAACAAAAAAAAAAACCTTTCTAGTAATACACACTAAACTGAGCATGTGCAGAAGGGCACGGTTCAGTCTGTCTTATCAGTGTGGACATCTGAACAAGAGGAGGGGCATAGAAGAAAAGATCAAACATCTTTTTTACACAATACAGAGGATTAACCCCTTAGGTCCCACAGTGAGTATAACAAGCATGTTTTACTGCATATACAGACTGATTTTACTGTTGTGGGTTTAGTAACACTTTAAAGGCTAGGTCCACTTAAAAATGATAACCCAGGTTTGGTTGGGCACTCCTGGACTCCCTCACCCAAAGACCTATTGTATTTTTTGAGAGCAGGAAACCTCCACCTAAAAACACAAGCTTGGTCCCCGTAAAATGAGGTTTCTTCTAATTTTTCTATCTGTGTGAAGAATCTACTGGATTCAACCTAGCATGTTCAGGATAATGGACAGAGTTGAAATCCAAACCACCCTGACACAGATTTTTAACTTTTGTAAGAAGAGTGTGACTCCAGGCACTCAAAAACATATATTCAGTTCAGTTCAGCCAGTTTGTGTTCCAGGCACCCATGCTAGAATTCATAGCCAAGCCCTTGACCTCACTCTGTGTTGTAATTAAAACTAAAATCCATCTATATTGCATTCGTTACGCTTAAAAAAGGTCTTGCACCATCTTGTCACATGATTCTCTAATGTCCAACATCCATCTTAAAACAACTGTATTCACAAATCATATATAACCCCCCCAAAAAAAATTATTTATTGAGGTTTACCAGTCCTTAGACAAGGAGGCCATGTTAGTTTTTTCCCCAGGCTATTTTTCTTTTATTTTCACCTGGTGATTCTGCCAGTAACACACTTTCTGCCCTAGGATGACAATGCTCGATCACTTTATCAAAGGAACAGAAACAGAGCAAACTTACTTATTTACTGGGAGCCCCCCCCCCCCCCCCCCCCGGGTCTCTTCTTGTACATAACATGGTTGGGTGGGGCCCTGTTGCCCTCAGAACAGTATGCAACAGTGCAGTACAGGCAAAGAGCAAAGACAATTGTCAGATCACAAGATTTATGCACTTATTAAATTAACATAACAAAATGTTCAGCGTTATATTTAACAGATCAAAAGAAACCACATAAGAGAAGATGACTGTTAGGGGTTACATACCCTTTAAAATCCATTTCTGGGTTTACTTCAAAAGAAAAAATAAACTAAAAAAGAAATAAAATAAGGTGCCATGGATACCCCTCCTATGTGTGCATCATTTGCTGGCTTGGACTCAGTACTGCAGCACAGAACAAAATAAAGAGTGAAGAGTGTTTGTGTGGGCCAAAAGCTGCTGGCTTCCCCAAGCATTTCTCGGATAGACACTCCAATCGGTCGTTCAGCAATTGTCCTCTTCCAGATAGCATACAACATATTCAAATCACTTTCTATGAGCCCAAGGTACCATGTGTACCCCCCTTGGGGTGTGTCATCTCACCTGCTTGAGATCACAGTGCTGCTGCACAGAATAAAATAAGGAATGCAGAACACTTGTGTGGGCAAGGAGCTGCTAGCTCCATCATGCAGATCTTGGGTAGACACTCCAGTCTATCATCCAGCATCTGTCCTCTTCTAGGTTGGCAGTCAGCATATTCAAATCACTTTTTATAAGATCAAGTGTCATGTATACAGCCCCTAGGTGTCATCTCACCTGCTTGAGCTCACAGCTCTGCTGCATAGAACAAAAAGAAGAGGGCAGAGCACTTGGGTGGGCCAGGAACTGCTGGCTCCCCAATCTGTCACTCCAATCTGTATCCAGTGTCTGCTCTCTTCCTCACAGTACTGCTGCATAGAAAAAATGAAGAGTGCTGAGTGCTTGGATGAGCCAAGAGTTGTTAGGTTGGCACCCAGCATATTCAACTCACTTTCTATAAGATCAAGTGCCATGGATACAACCCCTAGACACACCTAGGGGTGTGTAATCGCACCTGCTTGAGCAGGTCTTGGGCAGACACTTCAGTCTGTCATCCAGCATCTGTCCCCTTCGGGTTGGCACCCAACATATTCAACTTGCTTTCTATGAGTCCAAGGTGCCATGAATACATCTCCTAGGAGTGTGTCATCTTGCAGCTTGGACTTACAGTATTGCTGCATAGAAAAAAATGAAGAGTGCAGAGTGCTTGGATGAGCCAAGAGCAGGGGCAGACTGACAACTCATGGAGCCCCCGGGCAATAGGGGATCATGGGGCCCCTGTGTCCTTACCCAAACTCAAAAAAGCCTATGAAAAAAGGTACCAGAGGCATCTCCATGGGCCCCCTACTGACCCCGGACCCTCAGGTAGTGCCCGAGTTTCCAAATGGTCAGTCCGCCCCTGGCCAAGAGTTGTTAGATTGGCACCCAGAATGTTCAACTTACTTTCTATAAGATCCATGTGCCATGGATACAGCCCCTAGGGGTGTGTCATCTCACCTGCTTGAGCTCACAGTTCTGCTGCATAGAACAAAATGAAGAGTGCAGAGCATTTGGGTGGGCTAGGAACTGCCGGCTCCCCAATCTCTCATTCCATTATTTAAGCCAGCATCTATTCTCTTCCAGGTTAGCGCCAAGCACATTGAACTCGCTCTCTATGAGCACAAGGTGCCATGGATACATCCCCAACTTGGGCTCACAGTACTGCTGCATAGAACAAAATGAAGAATTTAGAGCACTTCTGTGGGCCAAGAGCTGCTAGTTCCCCAATACGAGGCTTGGCCAAACACTTCAGTCTGTCATCCAGCATCTGTTCTCTTTCAGGTTGGCACCTATCATATTCAAGTTGCTTTCTATGAGTCCAAGGTGTCATGAATACATCCCCTAGGAGTGTGTCATCTTGCCGGCTTTGACTCACAGTACTGCTGCATAGAAAAAAAGAGTTCAGAGTGCTTGGATGAGCCAAGGGTTGTTAGCTCCCCCATCTGTCACTTCAGTCTGTCATCCAGTATCTCCCTTCTTCCAGGTTGGTGCCCAATATATTCAACTTGCTTTCTATGAGCCTAAGGTGCCATGGATACACCCCCTGGGGATGAAGAAAAGCAAAAACAGGGCACACTCTCTTCATGCATTACCGTGCTGAATCACGAGTTTATTAAAATGCATAAAAGTGCATACTTACAAACCAAAGGAGATTAAAACAGAGACAAAGAGTCAGTGGTAACAGTCCCAAATGACTGGAGACCCTTGATGAAGTAGGCTGATGCGTTTCAGGAGACGTACTCCCTTCTTCAGATGCTCACCCCCTGGGGGTGCATCATCTCTCCTGCTTGGGTTCACAGTCCTGCTTCAGAGAATAAAATAATGAGTGTAGTGCACTTGTGTGGGCTTGTCTGGGGTAGACACTACACTCTATCATCCAGCATCTGTCCTCTTTCAGGTTGGCAGCCAGCATATTAAACTCACTTTATATGGGGTGCCATTGATACACCCCCTAGGGGTGCATCATCTCTCCGGTTTAGGCTCACAGTACTGTTGCATAGAACAAAATGAAGAGTGCCGAGTGCCTGGGTGAGCCAAGAGCTGCTAGTTCCCCAATCTGTCACTCCAGTCTGTAATCCAGTATATGTCCTCTTCCAGGTTGGTGCCCAACATATTTAACTCGCCCTCTGTTATCCCAAGGTGCTATGGATACATCCCCTTGAGTTGTGTCTTTTTGCAAACTTGGGCTCACTGTACTGCTGCATAGAATAAAATGAAGTGTGCAGAGTGCTTGTGTTGGCCAAGAGCTCATTTCTACCCTGGGCAGCTCTTTGGCAGACACTCCACTCTATCAATCAGTATCTGTCCTCCTCCAGGTTGGCACTCAACATATTCAACTTACTTTCTATGAGACCAAGGTGTCATGAATACACCCCCCTATGAATTAGCGTTAGCTCCCCCGCCTGTCACTCCAGTCTGTCATCCAGTATTTGTCCTCTTCCAAGTTGGTGCCCAGCATATTCAACCTGTCTTCTATGAGCCCAAGCTGCCGTGACTGTATCCCCTAGGGTTGCATTATTTTGCCAAATTTGTCTCTCAGTACTGCTGCATAAAATAAAATGAAGAGTGCAGAAGCCTTGCTTGGGTCAAGAACTGCATGCTCCTCCATTAGTCAATCCATTCTGTTTTCCAGTATCTAACCTCTTCCAGGTTGGCACCCAACATATTCAACTTGCTTTCTATGAGTCCAAGGGGTCAGGAATACACCCCCTGGGAGTGTGTCCTCTTGCTAGTTTGGGTTTACAGTACTGCTGCACAGAAAAAAATGAAGAGTGCAGAGCGCTGAGGTGGGACAACAGCTGTTAGCTCCAGTCTGTAATCCAGTATATGTCTTCTTCCAGGTTGGTGCCCAACATATTCAGCTTGCATACTATGTGCCCACAGTGCCATGGATACATCCCCTAAGGTTGTGTCATCTTGCCAACTTGGGCTCACAGAACAAAATGAAGAGTGCAGAGCTCTGATCCATTCTGTCATCTAGCATCTGTCCTCTTCCAGGTTGACACCCAACATAATCAACTTGTTTCTAGATGTTCAAGGTGCAACGAATACACCCCTTAAAAGTGTGTCATCTTGCCAGCTTGGGCTCACAGTACTGCTATACAAAACAAAATGAAGAGAGCAAAGTGCACAGATGGGCCAGGCTCAGGGGCAGACTGACCATTTGGAAACTCGGGCACTGCCTGAGGGCCCGGGGTCAGTAGGGGGCCCCATGAGATGCCCCTGGTACCTTTTTCATAGGCTTTTATGAGTTTGGGCAAGGACACAGGGGCCC